AGATGTACTTTAACAAGAATGGTGTTCTTAAAAAAAACCACATTTGTATTTTGTCTTTCACATACCTGACTATTCCATGCATGTATCAGCAAATCTTTTTGATAATCTATAGCTGTAACTTTTAAAAGATCCACTGGTGTTTAGTCAGCCTCTTGTCATCTGTATATTTATTCTGTTCAAATTCCAAAAAATTGTCACCGCACATTATAAAATGTACTTCATCCTTATTTAAGGCTATCATTTTTTCACTGAATGGACTTCCTGTACTTTATTTCTCCATGCCACTGAGGTTGGGGGATCTGTTCTTTTCCAAAACCAAGCTATCACACATCTGGTAATTGTGTTATCAATAGATCCTTCCCCAAGCCAATAATCTCCACTGGACTGTTTAGTAATAAAGTAGTGGTTCTCAAACTTTTTGGCCCATGGACCACCTGGCTCCATGCAAACCTTTCCGCGGACCACCCGTCGCTAACAGAAACTCGCTGTTAATGACGTAATTACACCCAAGCCATTTTCCTAGTGCTGCAGCGGGGGAGCCTGGTTTAATTGAAATGATTACACAGTGCCCGAGTCAGTATGCAAATGCTGCAGCTAGGGAGAATAGTTTAATTTAAATTATTAAACAGATGAACTAACATGAGAAAATTAAAATGCTTTATCAAACTTCATTTTAAATCAAGTAAAATATTAATTTAATGTCTGAAACCTTTTGTGTTAATGTTTTCTTTATTTATGGTGGGGTGGGGAACCTTTTATCGGTTGGGGGCCACTGATCCACAGAAAAATCAGCTGGAGACCACAAGTGAAAAGCAAAAAACACTCCTCCAAAAACCCCCAACCTCACTCATATGCCCCCCAACTGAGATACCTCACACCTCTGGTGCTCCGACCCCATAGGATGAGGGGAAATGTCAGGGAGGACTGAGGTTCAGGGCTTCCCATAGGCCAGATTTACTTTTCAGAGATTCCAGAGTTCGTGGATTTTGTGGACCCCCTTAGGCTCGGAGAACCGCGCGCCGGGGGGGGGGGGGGGGGGGGGGGGGCAAAAATGACAGGTTCAGTGTGTGGGACAAGGCTGCCAGCAAGTGGGATAGGAATGAGGGTGGAGGATCTGGGCAGGAGGTGGGGTGCAGGATGTAAGGATATTTTTATGTTTAGTTTCAACTCCCTCTCACCTCCCAACCAAAACTATTACACCAGTAGTCCCCAACGTTTTGGGGCTGCCGGACGCCTGGGGGCGGGGCCGCTCACGCGCTGCGCATATGGGGGCGGGGCCACTCACAGGCCACGTGACTGGGGGCGGGGCCAAGCATGCGCCGCACACCCAATGTCAGCACCGGCATGTGTTGCGATCCCGGGCAGGGGCTGCCCAGGTTCCACGCGGCACCCCCGGGACCGGGGCCGGGGCCAAGGCTGGCGCCAGGGCCGGCAAGCACATG